GTGCGGCCGTCCGCGAGTGTAGCTTGCGTAGGTTGCGTTTTTCTTCGAACGCGCGGGCCAAGACCTGCGCGGGCCATAAAGGCCTGACTCATGAAGTTGCGAGACGCTCCGCAATCAATCAAGGCACTACAGGTTGCCGTTCCGATTTGAATGCGGATATAGAGCAAAGGTGCGTCGGTTTCGGCGTACCTTTGGGTGGCGTGCTCGCGGTCGATCTTCGCAAGATAGGAGCGGAGATCGGCAACCGCTACCCCGTCGTCCGTCAACGGAGCTGGTACTGTAGTGTGCAAGTAGAAGCGTAGATTTGCCATCAAGGCGTTGCTATGCGGCCTTGGCAAGGTTCCGCTCGAGGGTAGAGGCATCCAGGCGAAGTCCTCTCTCGTGAGCGGGTCAAGCTCCTCAAGTCTTGACCACGCCGTCGAGTCCTCGGAAATCAGTGGCGAACTGACCGGATCACTTTCCGACGGKGTACAGGCTGCGCATACGCAATCTACATGCACGTGGCTAGGCTGGTCTAATGGTGGTACCAGCTGGGCGGCATAATCCTCGTACGTAGCACGAGAATCAGCGACTAACGCATGCTCCCCGGTAGTGACATTGATTGCTAGCAAGGCAACCGAGTCCGGCGGAGTGAGGAGAGACGTCGCCCCTCTCCTTGCGTAACTCAGTTTCCCGAGTTGGCTGGACGGGGTACCCGTGCCTTGCCCTTGTCTGGGCATTGTGCGGTAGTGTGTACTACACTGTTGCACCATAGGCAGTATGAGTACTTCTGACGTAGGTCATAGACCTCCTTGGTGATGTTATAAGTCGTCCATGGCTGCTGCCCAGCTCCCGTCACCGCTGTCCATTGTGTTGCCTTGTTCTTGCGAACTCTCTTCAGATGCTTCGGCGGGAGCGCTGCGACAATTCCTCCATCACTCAAGGATGCTGCCGCCGCGTGGTGGTCGTCGATTTCTTCAGAAAACACGGCATTGTTATGTGCCGGACGTTGATAGGTCTGTTTAGCCACATAGTGCGGCTGGGATTGTCTCTCATTAGCGGCCTTGTCGTCCGTTTGGATGACCAAGTTCGCTCGATCCAGAATGGCGTGGAATGTGGTATAGTCGTACTCATTGCCGAGTGCCGACCGCAATCCCGCGCACGATCGCGAGAAGAACTCGGATCGTTGATTTGGAAACGTCAAGTCGAAACCTGCTGTGGTCACTATCTTTTGCCACTTCGTTGTCCAGTCTGGAGTTGGCATGTTCCCTTGAGAGCATGTGTACACCTCATTCATGGCCGCCTTCACGACGTTGCGGACCATGAACCGAGTGAACCATAGCTGCTCGAACTCCTTCCACGTAATGTGCGTGTGGAGTTCGGCGATAGTGCACTTGTGTGTAGCCGCTAGGTGGTTCATCCATCCCTGCGCTCCTCCAATCAGCTGCAGATATAGTGCCTTAAACATATCGTCCGCCGGGACCATGCGGCATGATGCTTCCGTGAGGAAGCATTGCCACCATGACAAGGCGTCCGACTTGTTGTAATTGTCGAACTTGCTGATGTCGAAGTGCGGCATCTTGAACGTCTTTGTAGCGGCTTCCGGTCTTGTCTGTAGTCCGTCTTGATGGTGGCCACCGTGTTGCTGATCGAGTTTGGTCCGTTGAAAGTACTTATGTCGCCGATGATGGTGACGACGTGATCGATGCGCTCGTTGAGTTGCTTCGTCACGTCTGTCGTGCAGCCTGGCGCTGCTGAGAGGTGTTAGCCTCTATGCTGTTGACGCGTGTGATGGTGGAATTCAACAGCTGATGCTGTTGCTGCTGCTGCGTTGCCTCTGTGCGGATAGCAGTTGTTAACGTAGTCATATCTTTCTTGTATGTTTGTCGCTGCGTCGCGTCCGTGCGCAGATGTGAATGCAGCAGTGTATTATTCCACATAATACCTCTCATCATGCCCAGCAGCAAGTT